ACCAAGGGCGGGAGTGTTATAATTGATGGGAAGGATGAGTGTCGCATGACAGAGGGGCCCGATGGAGGAACACAAAATATGTATTAGATAGAAACGCCGAGACTTCGCAGCAAGTACTCAAATCAAAAGAAAAATCAGATTTGACTACTCTCGACTGGCTTGCGTTTCAGAGGCGAAGCCTTCGATAGCGCACTCATGTCTACTCGGAGGGTAGCGGCTGCTGTGTTGAAGTGTTGGCGTGTGAACGTGGCGCGGGTGTGGTGAGGAGACTAAAACGAATCTTTACTTCCAGAAGTTTGGGCCAAGTTTTGACCCAACTAAAGATCCAGAACCCACAGCAGCAGAGAGGGCTACATGCTCCCGGCTTTGTTGAGCGGCTTCGTTAAGCTTGCTCAGAAACTGTGATCGACCTACTACGTGAAAACTGCGCTTGCTACAAACCGCACTAGAGGTGAATAGACGGTAGTACGTGCTGGCTATTGAGGGTGTTCGTGTTTTTTCTCTCCCTGCTGTCAACACACCAACCTAAATACCAAAACCCCGCAAAACGGGACTGTCACCTTTTTGCGAACGGAAGACGAAAGACGCCGGTTCTGCGGATTTCAGCGCGCTTTCACGACACTGATTCCCAACTCAGCGGGCACAATCGGGACCGCGCGAAATGAGTCATTCTGTTCGCTAGGCCACCAGGTGCCACCGTGCGAAGGCGCGAGTCTCGCCATGCGTCTGGGCGCGCGCTATGAGGGCGCGAAGTTAACGTACTGTTTTCAGAGGGGGTCGAATCGCCCCGCTGCGCTGTGAGCGACCCAGTCCTGAAGATCCCGATTCCCGTAAAATTGATTACCTCTATCCGCCTATACAGATGCTTTTGTTCTTAACTCCAACTGACATTACTGATAACTCAGTGTTAGTCTCACACAAACTCAAAATATTCCAAGTCTCCAGTTAGTTTCAATCCACTTACTGAAAAGACTTCACCACATCCCTTTCGACTGAGGTTATATCTCGAACGGTTAGTCTTTCTGTGAGGTTATGTTGACTTTCTAAGAACCCGGGTATTCGCAGCTGGGCGATCTTTGGACCGTGTCTGATATAATCACCCTCACTTACGGCTGACGAAGAGATACCGCTAACGGCGGGGGAGCGGCTCCGAGATCCGGCTGTGTCCGATGCCTCATTCGCGTGCTATGGCAGCTGCTGGTATTTGCGGAAGGCCAACATTGGATGCAAAAGTTGCCACAACCACTGCAAGGGGTAACCCCGCGGCACGACACCAAAGTCCGTGTTCAGAGCCGGGGTGGAGAGGCCCGCGGCAGCTGCCGGTACGTCTTGTCCTGGTCGGTCGGTATCTGTGGGCCAACCTAAACTGGAGATATTGCGCGTCTCCGGTGAAGACAACGTGGATCTGTTTCGAGAGACTCCCCGACCCGGAGGAACTGGTGCCCCCTTCGTCGTCGCACTGCGTGGCCAGCACCCGGTCGCTCGTGGGTGGTATGGCAGCACGGGGCGCTTGGTCGTTAGAGCCGAGAGCGGAACGAAGACATGCCCGCAAAGTTCGGGAGGCCCAAAACAACACCTGCTTCCTGCACTTTCCGCTTGGCGCATGTAGAGCACTACCGCGATGTGCCATCCAGGAGAGTGGGTATACCGGTACTCGCCCCGCCTCAGTGGTTGCGCTGCGCGACCAAGCGTCGGCGATGCGGGCACGAACCAGCTCCTCGAGGTATTATCTCGAACACATCGATGTCATCTCGCCGGAAAGGAGCGCAACAGACCACATATTTCCAGCTAGGTCCACAGGCGAGAGGCCCACTACCCGACCTTCCCACGGCTATGTAGTTCCGGCCACATCGTGCCGCCAGCCGCCGTCGCGCCTCCACCCCTGCCCTGCCCTGAACACGGGTTGTTGCTGCCTGCCGCGGCGCAGGGTGTGACCCCTTCGTTGTGGTTGTGGCGACAACCCCTGCATCGAAGGATGGTCTGCCCCTACACCAACCTCTCCCGCAGCCGCGGCACGCGAAACAGGGTCCACGGCAACAGGCACAGCCAGCCGTGCTAGAAACGGGGGGCGTGCCGGCGGCCGGCGGGGGCAAGGCGTCGCCCTCGTCGCCCCAATCATCAGAAGCGGTCGATCGATCGCGAGCCGCCCCTCCGTCGTTTGCGGGATATTTGCTTCGTTACGTGGCCACAACTCATTGGTGATTGTACCCAAGACGAGTGGCAGCCCACCCCTGGGGATAGCAAAGACCGCCCAGCGTAGGTTACCTTAAGGTTGCAAGTCAGCGCACAGGGGTGCGAACGATTTTCGAAGCGTAATTTCTCCACAACCAGGAGGTTACAGTACCACTGTCCAAAAGGGCGGTTTTGGCAATATCTCATCGAGAGCTTTCCTGAGAAGTATCAGCTGGCGCTCGCACCTTCCTGGTTGTGGAGAAACTGCGCTGTGAAGATCGATCGCACCCCTGTGCGCTTACTCGCAACCTTGCGGTTGTTCTGCCGGAGTTAGCCCTTTCGGCTGCAGCGATATGTGCTCCACCCGGTCTTGCTTGCCAGCAAATGCTACAGCATGGGGAGGAGCCCCCCTTTCACATATGAAGCTGTTGGTATTCATTGTCCCGCTTTCAGGAGAGATGCAGACTTGAAACCCTATTTCCGGCTCTGTCATTTTTCTCCGATGTACTGCTGTGGGACAAGAAAGCATTCTCACCGTTTCGCAAGAAGTAGAGTTTCCAGTAACGGCCTGCTGCCTGGAAACAAGCCAAGATATCTTAGCACACCTCTGCCTTGTCCTCTGCGTACGTTGCACACCGAACACGTTTTCAACCCACCTGTTGGGGACGCACTGATTCGGATTGTGAGGACAACCCCGTAAAGAAAAAAACACACAAAGTGTACTTGCTTCATTAAGATGTTTGCATGCTAGATTCATGCGATCAAGCCGTTGACTTCACCTGGCGATTGCGACGGGGATGTGAAGGGACATCGTGAAGATTGCGAGCTTTTCCAATAATTGTACCGACCGCGAAAGCCGGCTGACCGATATGCAGACATCAAGTGTGTTAGAGCCAGCGGGTAGAGCAAGAGAAATAGACTGTCTTGAGAGAAGAGAGGAGAGACGTCGGCTTCGGGTAACTCGCTATTCCAACTGAGCTCGCAACACAGACAGGACTAGCCGTTTACTGCTAATCGATTATACTGCTCAATCAACTACGCTGACCTCATCGGAAACGTTCGCCGTTCGCATCCGCCTGTTTGGCCGTGCTTGTTCAACTCTGTCAAATTATTTCACCCGGGTGTCCGCGCTGTCACCCACGTCCAGAGCTTCAGGATGGGAATGGATCATCTCAAGGTGACACTTGGTTCATGGAAGAAAACCTTGAAAAGGGGGACGGACGAATACTCAAATCGTTCGAAATCGCGCATGCCCTACAAAAAAGGTGTAGTTTTTCCAGCAACAAACGTACTGTTCGTCATGAGTTGACAAATATTTTTCCAGGGAATCGTGTTAGACGGCCTCGTAAGTCGACGGAAACGACGTTGGCGTATGTAGTATTTGCCGGGAAGCGCGTGTCTATGGCTCGTTCTCGTGCATCCGTGTTGCGACACCTCCGGTAGGGACAACAGTTGTTGTTAGTCCGAGTCAAGCGCTCTCCTAGTCGTAGTGTTAGCGGAGAACAGCTCAAGGATGGCTTTCGACACCCGAATACTGTAGACCCATGTGCCGGTCTTTGGAAGGCAACATGTCTACTATCGTCGCTGTTGATGTTGGCGTTGTTGTTGGTGGTGGTGTTAGGGTTATTGCTGTGGAGTAGATTGTTGCGGTGGCTGATGTGGCGCTGGTGCTGCAGCTGCTGCTCCGTTTGTTGGTGTTCTTGTTGATGACGTTGACAGCGACAGCAGCGAATTTTGGTCAGCATCGCGCGACGTACCTTGTAGAACCGCCGCGTCGTTTCTTCTTGTTGCTTCTGCCATTCCCGAAGGGTAGGCAAGGGTGGTGATAGCTTGAACAAATGACCTAAAGACCAGACACAACGTCCGCCGCCGCCGATTGGGGCCCAGTTGCTTTGGCGGCCAATATCCGACGTGCTCCGTCCCCACCTAGGGGTATGCAGAGATCATGACGTAGTAGTTCGACCCGGGAGACGTTGATTGGCCACACAACAAACGGTGACGACAACAAAGGCTGCTGTTGGTGATAGGGAGTACCCCACCGACGATGGCAACCATATAACCTCACCGCCAACAACGCTTGGAATAACGATTTACATTTGCGTCTACTACACCTTCCTTTCCGCCCCGGAAAAAATGAGATTGGTTCGGATGCCCCAGCCTTCTCGGTGAAAGACCAGGACGGTGCCGAGGTCACCTTGTCGTCGTTCAAGGGCCAGAAGAATGTCATCGTGTATTTTTATCCGAAGGACGCCACCGTAAGTGAATCATGAACACATGCACGCCGGTTGTGGTGTTTTGCCGAAAGCAACGACTGTCTGGGGGATTCGGTGCCCTCGTCGTCGTTGTTGTTGTTGTCGTCGTTCGTTGTTAGTGCTGTTGTTATGCAGTATTGGTGAGCGGCAGTAGCGTCAGTTGCCATTATCCGCCGACCGCCTCGAAGCTAATTCTATGTGGATGGTTCTACTATTTTAGCACTGCTGTTTTTCCCTCTTGTTGGCGGCTACATCTGTCTTCGCTGTTTATAGTAGGACTCACCGCACGTGCCAGAGTGTCCGTGAGGCCACCATTTTCGCTGGCAGACAGGGCGTCCTTCCGAGCCCTTTTTCGTTGTAGAACGTTGGCTAGATGAGTTCAAGAAACAGTAGCAATTCCATAAGTTCGTGATGAAACCGACGAAGTCAAATGCTTCGAGCTGCGTAACACGTTGGCAGATCGGGGAGCGTTCGTTTCGGAAGAATGATGTGATACGTGAGAAACAACCAATGCAAGTCCCCCACCCCCTGTTTACGGCGTGCTCTGGGTTGGTCCCGCGATGGTGGTTGGAACCCCTCCTTCATTTCCTTGGCCTACTATGAAGCCTGGCTGCACCAAGGAGGCTTGCACGTGAGTCGTAGGTGTTGTCCGCACATCCTCACGCAAAGTGTTGGTATTGCGGTGTTCGGTTTCGTACTACTGTGGTCGCCCTGCGTGCTTGTTATTTAGCGCGGGGCATGCACACATGCTACATAATAGCCCTGATGTGTGTATTTCATGTGTTGTTGCCTAAGTTGTTGCTGACGCCGTCATTGTCGTTGCCGTCGATGCTGCTACTTCCCTTAGCTCGTTTAGGCTGCTCTTGCCCTGGCGCCTTCCGATACCGCCGTTCCTGTGTTCTACAAGGCGAAAGCGGGCGGCCATGTGTTTGGCAACCTAAGCAACACAAATGTTGGACAGAAGCCCGCGGAACCCGTCTCATGAGGCTAGCTGCTTGCAGGCCTGTCCCTTTTCATAAGGCCTCGGCATGATTTACCCTTTCCTGTGCTCACACATTTCTTGGGACATAGACAGCAGCAAAGCCTTGCCCTATACTGCTGTGCTCACACTTTTCTCTTGACACAGACGGCGGCACAGATGAGTAGGACCCCGCGCTTAGAACGCAAGTTGAGTGTGTAGTTTTTGTTGTTCAGACTCACGACGAATCATGAACCTTAGGTGGATCAGTTGGTTGGCCTCCTCGCAACGTTAGCCGTGCGCATGCCTCTACCCTGGACCTCAGGAGGAACTTCACACTGCCCAGCCACAATCCCCGCCACAATCACCGGACTATAATCAGTTTTTTCCCTCGTTTCCCCTCAAACCATCAGGTTTCGAGACCTGCAGAGCGACTACGACGCCTTGGACTGCGTGGTTCTGGGAGTTTCGGCGGACAGCGAGGCCAGCCACCAGGACTTCATTGCGGACCTGGGCCTGAACTTCAGCCTTCTGGCAGACACCGACAAGTCAGTAGGCGTTGGTGGGGAAGGGGTTGATTGACTACTGGTATTGTCGTGGTCGACATTTTTAATTCATCGCTTGCTTGGGACATTTCCGTTATTGGCAAGACAGGCTGAAAAACTGTGTGTGCGTTAATTTTTGGCAACAACCGCGCTAACCGGCCGACAGTGCGTCAGTCTCAGTGCGGCTTTAAACGGCGGCACGATCTTGGGGCCCGTGCGTGTGCCTGTGTCGAGTAAGTGACCCAACTAAGTGAAGCTTCTGTTAAGTTCCTTGTAAACCTTCGTCAAATCAACGTAAGACTGTTTTGTTTTGTTTTTACGTTTTTACCTTATACAGGGGCAGGGCCTTTTCTCACCTTTTTGTCAGCGCCGACAATGTACCGCGCCAGATCCTTCTCTTCCATTTTGTTTATTTCGTTTCTCTCTCCGTAGGGTGGTATGTGCTCATGTTAGCTATCGCCAGGTCACCAAATCTTTTTCTAACTCGGCATGCTACCAGCCAATGGGAAGTTGGCGTACGACCTGTTATGTGTCCCTTCATTGGGCCATTTCTCTGTAGTCATAGCATTCTCGTCCGTAGTTCAGAGTGTTCGTTCCATCGGCCCTCAAATCTCAACAAAGTCTAGATGGAGCATGCTGGGGCTTCGGTCGACCAAGTACGCGCTGGTCCGGGAGGGGTGAGGGCATTAATTGATTTTTTTAGTTCTCTGTCACTGAAGTTCAAGACACAAGTCAAGTTCGAAGGGCTTCATCGTCCTGTGGACATTATTCAGTTGATGGGTGACCTCTTGTGGTTTGCACCCGGGCTTGGGACTGGCGGGAGCAACGGTGGCCGGCTGGCTTAACGGAAGTGCGCGGGGGCGGCGGAGGAGTGTGCCTAGATTACTTCCGATTCACAAAGGGCGTAGTAGCGTTTTCGCGGCGGTAGCGATGCTCCCTTCTTTCTGTCTTTACGGCATCTGTTTCTCTGTGAAGAAGAACGAGAAATGGTTTACAATGTCCGTGAGGTGGATTATGTCATCCTTACGAACGCTACTGCGGTAGCACTCATGTAGTTTATGGGTTCAGAGCGAGAAAGTGTGCAAGTGACCGTTCCACAGGCGTGGATCTTCGGGGTATCTCCCGACGTGTCTTTGGTAGTTGGAGTTGTTCCGACTTGCGGAAAGTCTATGCGTCTTTGCGTCGGTGAATTTCTTGCAACTGTTGCTTGATGCTTTGTGGCGCACGTGGCGCCCACTCTCTCCTGTTGCTTGTCTACGAGGGAAACCTAGTAAACGACTTTACCATCTCTTCATTCCTGTCAACCGGGTCAGCCGTGCTTACTCAGCAGCACTAGGCTTGAAACCAATCAACATTAAACAAAACACAGGAATTGCTTGAACAACAGATCCCTGATAAATGCCTACGGGGCGATGAAGGCCGAGGACGAAAACAAGATACAGAGGAGTACGGTGGTGATCGACAAGGAAGGCAAAGTGGCGGCGGTATGGAATCCGGTAAGAAAGATGTCCCTAACCCTGTACGGTGTCATACGACAACTGTACTAGATATATTCGCACCTCAGATACTTAGCTCTGAGACATTAGTGCGTACCATTTCCCACTGAACCCGCACCATGCCGTTAAATCGCTTGTGCCGCGTCACGCCGCGCTGTACGTTTCGATCTACTGGATGTGGTTTTCGTTGCCGCCTGGATTGGATGAACAAGAGATTTCGCTCACCGCACGTCTTTGTCGACATACTGAATCGTTTACCTGCCCACCTTACCGCAGTCTGCTTTGGGTTGGCACGAGGGGGGGGGGTCGCCACACGCGATAAAGAGAAGCACGGCCCGGGGTTCGATTCTTGTTTGCTTGAGGGGGGGCTTGTCATGGGCAAGAAGTGCTCCGCGGGTGAACTTCCGGAGGGGGAGGGAAAGAACCCGCTGTGATACCACAGATGATCTGCACCGACAACAAACAAATTTAATAGTTGTCGTTGATGTTTTAGAATAATACAAGTACACGCTTACAGTATTCCTCATTGGTTGAAGACGCCGAGCTTGTAAGCCCCATGCGGGTCTCGATGGCAACATGCCATAGACAGAAGTAAAAAGACGTTCCTCCGGGGCTATTTACACGTTTACTACTTCAAATTTCCGCCATACCGCGCCAGTTGCCTACAGGCAGTGTCGCTCCGCGCGCTGCATAGCACAGCAATACGTAGCACCATCCTCTCTGTATTCCGTGTTTTGCTCCTATTTGTACCCATTTCTTCGTCATCATGCCCGACCACTCCTACCCAAAGCCGTACCTTGCCCGCTACAACGTGTCTATCTATGTGGTGACACTCGGCTCTTGATAATCGTTTTTTTGTTCGTTTTTTTTGGGCAGGTGACGGCGGCAGAGGAGCACCCTGTGGAGGTCTTGGAGAAGATTAAGGGGATGTAGAGTAGCTCTATCTGTTGGCAGGAATGTTTCACCGCGTCAGTATGTAGCCTACCGAGAAGCAAGCAGAGCGCATTCGGTGGATGAGTGCGTACTACATCTATGTTTGAGGATTGCTACTATGTCGTGAATCTGTGTCGGTTACATGGGAGAGTGTTTTTTTTTTTCTCCCGTCATTGGACTTTGCCGTCTGCCCCTCTGGCCCCCATCCTCCACTTCTAGCTAGACGACCCAACCGGGGTCACATAGGAGGGGGGGTTGGACCCCCTCCTGCGGTTCCTGCCTGAGATATTTTATCGCGAGAATGGTACAGCAATCCCTTCCCTCGCGACTTATGAAGTCGATCAAGTTTACAAACAGCGAGCTTTGCAGCGCGTCGCTTCCAACTTAGACCAGGATTAATTTAGCGAGAAAAAACTTTCTCTGCCGTGTGTGAGTGCGTGTCATTTACTTTTTCTTGGTGGAACATTTTTTCCCACCCCACGAGAAGTGGAGATACCCATCGCAAAATTGGATCAACGTTTTTTTTGTGTGACAGGATTCCTTGATCCTGAACCGCTACAATATTATGTTGACGAGGACCGGCTGATTGTTTTTGGTTTTGACCCAGGGCGGCGGGGTATCCACAAACCATCCTACACACCTTACCGTCGGCCAGCTCGGTAATCAAGGGTTGTTATGTAACTGTTTAGTTACAACTGCATGGATGATGGGCGCGCGACGAACTGGCCGAGGGAAATGTCCCAGTGTTCAATACCCACAGCCCTCCCCCAGCTCGGCGGGGAACTGATATGTGCTGGAGAAGGGAGAGAATAGTAGACATACAGGTAGTTTTCTCTGACGCTATGATTCCATTGTTAATCTGTCTATGACTCTTTTCTATGATAGAGATGGACTCGTTGTGTCATACTAAGAAAAAAAAATAAAATAATGTCGAACGACGTCTTTCTTGCTAACTAAGTGTATCCTCCGCCGGCACTCCGCCTTTCTGTTTTGTGCGGCCCTCCTACCCACTAACAATGAGGTCGCGCGAGGGGTCTTCATTTTGGGCTCATTTTGTGACCACGCTACGACGGTACATGACAATAATGCAATAAAAAAAGCGGCGTTTCAATCTTCCTCTAACAACTTCGTCGCAGTATCGTTGTCAATTTTCCATACGCTGTGGAGAAATCCTTTTTTTGGTCATCCAAACCCTCGTTGAATAGTAGTTTTGCCCTGTGACCACGGAAGGCATCCGCGTCAGTCAGTCAGTCAGTGGGACCGGTATGGATGGATATATATTTATTTGGAGGTACTCTTAGCAAAGAGAAACCGGACGGAATGTATTCCAAACAATGTGAAAACAAAATCAATAACAGCCGGGAGAAAGAAGTAGTAAGACGGACAAGCCAAGACAAAATTCGAGTAAAGAAAGTGAAGCTCCCACGCGGCACCACAACCATCGAAGGGCCTCGAAAGGAGCACACCTGGTTGGGGGCGGGGACGGACTCACTCACTACTCGATGTTGATTTTTTGCAAATATATTTTTCTTCGTGCTCTCTCATTTTTCTCCATGTGTTTACACAGGCGAGAGGAGTCACACATCACATGTCCGTGATAACCGGTGGTTCAGGATTATTAGCACTTGTTGTTGTTGTTGTTGTTGTTCCTCACATTATTAGCTCTTCTTCTATTATTGTCCACACAACAAGTAAGTGGGGAGCCCGTGGTCTCAAAACCCGGCACATACATACGACGCTGCGGGGAAACAAAACAAAAGCAGGGTGCAAACCACTCGGAAAAAGAAAACAAATGATCGAAAGAAAATAACAGGTACCGCACCGACCGTTCGAGAAAAGAACCCTCGGAAACCGATCAAAAATAAAACAAAAACAAAAATAAAAATCACGGTAGACTGCCGTAGACAGCAAACTGCGCCGCACGCCATCGAGGAACGCCATAAAAAAAGAGGGCAAAGGTCAAGCTCCCACGCGGAGTTGAACCACGGACCTTGTGCTTACTAAGCACACGCTCTAACCAACTGAGCTATGAGAGCCGTTGACAATGACGGAGTTCATGTTGCGTATATAAATTATACGGAGATCTACCATGTAGACGCCACCAAACCCCATCTTGGCTATCTTGGCTAGAGACTCAACAAATTCATCTCTTCCACAGAAAAGAGTCCGCGGTGTGATGCACCTGAAATATGTCGCAAATATTCACTTGCTCCGCCGATCATTCATACCGTGCGTAGTGCGTAGTACCTGGTTCTGATATGTTACCCTTTCATTTTTTTCTTCGGGCGGGTGTGGGAAGCGTCCTACTTTATATATATATATATTTTTTTTGATCGGTTTCCGAGGGTTCTTGTCTCGAACGGTCGGTGCGATACCTATTCTTTTCTTTCTATCATTTTGTTTTCTTTTTTCGGTGTGTACCCTTTTTGTTTTGTTTCCCCGCGGGTCGTATGTGCCGGGTTTTGAGACCACGGGCTCCCCATTTTGTGTGGACTTTAGACCTACTGTTAGAAGCAACAACAACAACAACAACAACAACAACAACAACAACAACAACAACCGTGTAGCTCAAAGAATATGGTAATATAAAGAGTCATATTCTTTGGTGTAGCTGGTGTCAGTAACCACCCCCCCCCCTCAGCAGCATTTTTTTGTCGATAATAAATCCCCCCGCACCGGTGAACACCGACCTGCTGCCATCATGTCAACCTGCCTCGTTGCCCTGTCGTACACACCTCCTATATATACATGCGTGTGCTGTACGCTGGATGGCGCCAAGGCTCTGAGTGCTGCACCATGAGAAACGGGACTCTGTTGGCTGTTGCAGGTGCCGCCGTATTGATCAGTGCGTCCTGCTCCAGCGGCGCGATACGCTGCGATGCCTTTGTCTTGCGCGGAGGCATGAAGCGGCGTGATAGCACCATCACACGCGTGAGAGGTGGGGTGTCAGACCTCCGAGCTGCTTGGATCGATGAACAGGTGACTTGCTTATCCGCGTACAGCCCAGTGTGTGGAGAGGGTGCGTGAAGCCAAGCAGGGAAAATTACTACCGGTGCACCGTGTTTTGGTTGCGGAGTATGAAGAAAGCCGGTGGTTATCATGTTTGTCAATGTCATTATGTCATCCATCCACACCGCGTGCGCCTCGATCAATCTCAGCACGCGGTTGCATTCCCTTGTCTTATGCTCAAGTAACTGTAGGAAAAGGTCGACCATGACTCTGTAAATTTCTCCACCACTGCTGTTATCGGGCAAGTTCTGTGAACGTCCGTAATGCTGCAAAACGGCAAGAGATCAGGTGCTTCGACACGTAGTTTTGCCGACCGTACTGCTGATCTGCTGATGCAACCAAGCCAACGGCACCTAAATACATACGGACAGGTAGTTTTACTGTCGCCCGCGGTCCACTATTTCCTGTAGTGTCGAAATGCGCATCTATGGGTGGTGCATCAACAGGATTGAGGACGGCGTCCTGGCTGGAGGAACGAAGTCAGACTGATCCATGCAGTATGGACATCTACAACATCGTATTTCTCGTGTACTGTTGGTTTTGCGGGTGGGTCTCCCCTTGCCGCTTGTGAGGCGACGGAGGCGACACTTGAAGGGCCACCGCGGTAGTGCCGCTCGTGACTCTTTTCAATGCCCCGCGGGGAGCCTTCCGCGCAAGGCCCCAACAGACGACATGCTGCTGCAGGCGACGTCGCTTGACTGACCCTGTTCTTGCTTCCCCACGCGGGGTTGCGGTTGCTCCTGCGGGTATGTGTGTCTTGCTCTGTGACAAGGTCTCGCTCGAGGTGCCAGCGTCCACCCAGGACGCGTACTCCCTGTATTCGGATCTCCAGAGGCAGCCGGAGTGGTCTCCTTGGCTCAAAAGTGTCCAGGTAATAAATAGTACATGGACACATGCGACACCGCTTACCGTACATTTCGTTTGTTTCCTTCAAGGGGCCGGTGCGCGCGCGATTCGTCTGAGCTACATGTAGCCGTTCGAGGTCGAACCGACTACTATTGCGACACAAGTATGCCAAAAGGTGTAGGTTCACCTGTTGGCTTCTTTCGGTCTAGTGCGTGCGCGCGAAACCGTGTGGGTTCAACGTCCGAGACGGTTGTAAAGACGGCGATACAGGGGCCAATAGGAAACAACCGTAATCTGCATACCTGAGAGTACAGCAAGCGTTCAGGCTGAGACGAAGTCAGCCAGAGTAACCATGGAGGAGGCCGCAGGAAGTTATTACTCCCAGATTTTGTCAAGCAATATAGTGGCACCGGGTGGAAACGGTTGATTAGTTGAAGACCGGACAGGACCCTGCCCTTTTGACCAAACCTGCGCAAGGAATCCCCCCTTTCGGCCGCTGGCGTCGTCCCCAGCAACGAACGTACGTTTTCACGGCATACCCTCATTCCCTCCTTCCTGTTTCTGTGTTCCACCGGTGCCTTGGCCTGCAATTGTATTCCGGTTTGTTCTGGCTCTCTCTGTGCGTGTTTGTCCGTCTGGCTTTTGCTGTGGTTGCCTTCGGCACGGCCTTTGGTTTTGACGTGGTGACCTCAAGTACGTGGCTCCCAATCCACGTACCGCTCTCTGCCCTGTGCCACCCCCCCCCCGCCCCCGTGTTCTTCTCAGCACCAGATCTTCATCATCTTCGTTCCAAACGCCTCCCCTGTGAAATCTCCGTTCGCCAATGTTTTGTAGGCCGCATGGCTTCGCGCTCGTCGCATGCCTCTGCGAACACCAACCAGTATATACCTTAAGCAACGTCTGCGTCCCTCGTTCCTCGTGTGCATATGCCGTCTGGCCACAGCATGACCGCGCAACCGGGACCTCGAAGTGGGTCATCCAATCCAACGGCATCAAGGTTTCCTGGAACGCCCAAAACACCGTGGAGGTACGCGCGTCGGCTTGCGGGGGGGGGGGGGGGGG